GTGGCGTGCGTCTGTAGTTCCAGCTGCTTGGAAGGCCGAAGCGGAAAGATCACCTGAGCCCAGCAAGTCGAGGCTGAAGTGGCCATGAGCATGTCACTATACTCCAGCCTGGACGACAAGAGTGAGGCTCCAACTCAAAAAAAAAAAAAAAAAAAAGACAGCCGCTTGCAGTCCCGCTGCCTATCTGTGTTGAGTACATGAGAGGTCCCCCAGGCCAAGGTGGGCTTTGAATCCAGGGGATGGCCCTCCTGGGAGCTCACTGACACACCAAAGCAGAATGCCAGAGAGTTCAGAGAGGAGGTGGAAAGGTGTGGATACCTACGCACACCGAACAATGGACCACGGGGCCATCACACTATGTCTCATTCTTGTGAGTGACTGGATGGTGCCAGATGAGTGCGTAATTAAAACTGTTATCTGGAACAAGCATGTCTTACTGCCTCTTCCCTAATCACGAGGTGACATACCGCAAGATAAGCCTGTTGAACACGTTGTTCACGCAGAACACTATCTGTGCCCTCTTTTCTCTTTCAAGAACAAAAGCAGCTCCCATGGGCACACAGACTTTCTCTCTCTCTCTCTCTCTCAAGATAAGATAGTGAACACCACAGAGCAGTCAAACTCTACAAAGTACCCTGAACAGGATGGATGCTCTCATGTGTACCTTCACAACGAGGAATATCTGTGTGCTCAGGCAAATGAATCCACTCAGACACACACATATACACATGCACACACATGCAATCACACGATCACACATGCATGCACCCTCATGCACTCACATGTATAAACATATGCATGCATGCACCACACACACATACACAGCCACACATATGTGTACCCTCACACACTAATGCACACACACACTCACATGCAGGCACACAAGCACACACAACCACATACACACCTACACCACTCTGACAGTCCCCCTCGGCCCTCCCTAACATTTCACATGTCACACATTTCAAATACCACAAAACAGAGTTCATCTGGAACCAGAGGATCAATCTGGATCCCTTTCTGGCCTCTGTGAGTCTGTCAGAACAGAGGAGGGAGAGACACAAGCCCCCACCACAGGAAGGCACCAAGACAATGAACATACTCCTGCTACAGAAGACAGACCAGCTCCCTGCTGTCCAAGATGCAACACACATTTCAGAGCCCGGAAGCCAGGGGCAGGGCTTTCTTCGAACTGGTCTATTTCATTGGTTCCATTTACTTTTAAAATAATAAATAATAGCCAGGCACGGTGGCTTAAGTCTGTAATTCCAGCACTTTGGGAGGCAGAACCAAGAGGATTGCCTGAGTCTACAGGTTCAAGACCAGCCTGGGCAACATAATAAGACTTCATCTCTACAATAAATCAAAAGAATTAGCTGGATGTTGTGGCGTACGCCTGTTGTTCCAGCTACTTGGAAGGCTTAAGCGGAAGGATCACTTGAGCCCAGCAGGTTGAGGCTGGGTGACAGAGTGAAACTCTGACTCAAAAAAAAAAAAAAGGAAAATACTACTTTTAGCAGGGCTCGGTGGCTCAGCCTGTAATCCCACGCCTTTGGGAGGCTGACGTGAGTGGATTGCCCGAGCCCATGGGTTCGAGACTCACCTGGGTCACTTGGCGAGACCTCATCTCTACAATAAATCAAAATGAGCCGGGCGTGGTAGCGTGCACCTGTAGTTTCAGCTACTTGGAAGGTTGAGGTGGAAGGATCGCCAGAGCCCAGCAGGTTGAGGCTGTGGTGGCCGGGAGTGGCCACTGCACTCCAGTCTGGGTGACAGAGTGAGACTCCAACTCAAAAAAAAACAAAACAAAACCAAAATAAAATAAAAATAAATACTACTTTTAGGTGGTAACTGCAGAATATTAAAGTACTAAAAAGGATATATGAGCTGGGCGTGGTGGTTCATGCCTGTAATCCCAGCACTTTGGGAGGCAGAGGCGAGAGGAATGCTTGAGCTCAGGAGTTCGAGACCAGCCTGGGGGACTTGGCCAGACCTCATCTCTACCAAGAATCAAAAAAGTTAGCCAGGCATGGTGGCACACACCTGTGGTTCCAGCTACTTAGAAGGCTGAGGCAGAAGGATTGCCTGAATCCAACAATTCAAAATTGTGGTGTTCATGACTGTGCCACTGCACTCCAACTTGACAACAGAGTGAGACTCCAACTCAAGGGGAGAAAAAGGATATATGAGACGGTTCCTCAGTAAACCCAGTCCTCATTTATATAAAGAGAAGGAGACATTAATCTTCAAGCAGGGTAAGCAGTATGGTGAAACCCAGGAGAGTGTTGGATGTCTTGGGAAAAAAGCTGCTAGACCAAGATCCCCTGGGCCCAAGACACCTATGGTGCTGGCCATGTGGAATCGCCCATGGCCTGTTTGTGGGGGCATTCGGGGGACACACCCCACATACCAACAACAAGGCTAAGGCACACAGAGCTGGCTGTGTGCTGCCCTCACAACAGTCCTCGGGGAAACACCATTACACCCCACGTCTCAGACTCAGAGTAGGAGGCTGTACCCTTGAAGGGTCAGGGCCAGGACACAAGCCTAGCTCTGGCTGGCCGTCTTTACTCCTAAATCAGACTTGTCCCCACATAGCACATGACACAGAGGCACTGGTTCTCAGGGAAGCCTCGGATGTAAGCTTTTACCTGAGACATCGTTGCAGGGTGGGGAAGCTGAGAACAAACACACGGTGCCCCTGTTGGTGCCACACAGCTCTCCCTACCGGCCCAGCATCTCAGTGGGCACAGGACCAGGGCTCTCTGGACTGCACTGGCTCCGTGACTCCACATTCAACCGTGACCTTCCCTGTCCTTCTTTTCACACTTGCGAGTCATACTTAAGGCCAAGACTTTAACATATACACACCTCTATGAAAATGGGATTGAAAACTGGAGAGACTTCTCAGGTCCCCCATCCTGGCTGTGTTCCCGGAGGGGTCCAGGACTCCTGTCTGACTCCACAAAGTGAGACACAGAGAAGCTGTTGTCTTGGCCCACAGACATCTTGGGGATAGCCTGAAGAAGATGACAGTCCAAGGGCGTCGGTGCTATTTCTTATCACCTCAGGTCTGCAGGCTACAAACGGAAAGGGTCACGACGCTGCTGCTGACACTTCCCGCCTGAACTGGACAAGCTGTGCAGGTGAATGACTCAGGGATGGGCCACAGTTCTCATAGGTAACAGAGATGTCATCCAGGGCAGCACCATTTGTAAATACTGGCTTAAAAATTTTTGACTCCCATGACATCACACCAGCTTGCTCAGAGTAGATCGTGGGCCCTGCTGTCCACCCTGGAAGCAGATCCAATTAATCCCTCAGATGGCTCCAAGGCCTCTGGCTTCTGGTTGGATTTATCCATGGGGTAGTCTCAGGGGAGGTCACAGAAACAGAGGACAATGAGGTCACCTTCCTCGCAAAGTCACCTCTGCTGGCCAGCTAGAAGTCCTTGTCCTCCTCAGACCCATCACCCCAGCTCCCTCCCTCTTCCCTTTAGGCCTAGGGGTGGTAACAGGTCAGCTACTCCTTAGCCTGGTTCCTATGGGTGCCCACACCCAGGACTCTGCCCATGCAGGGAGGGCCTGCACCACCCACACGGTGCCACAGAGGAAAAAGTTAACCTCACAGTCAATTACTGCTCCCACCCAGTCACCAGGACAGACAGCCATGCCCAGGGGATGCAGAGATGCACCTGGCCAGCTCACCCGAGGAGCACAGCAGGGTAGCTACCTCCTCTGAGCTCTACACATGCTCATGAGTTCACTGGGACAGAGGAGAGGTGGCTGAGCAATGTTCAAGAAACACAACCTTGGGGCCTTCTCAGTTCCTGAAGACTAAACTCATACTGTGTAAGGGAGGAGGTGCCTCAGATGCCACCACCCTGGCTGTGTCCCGGCAGAAGGTGGAGAGGTCAAGAGCACTGGTGGCCAGGCAAAGGCCTCAAGGGCACCAACTCAAAAATGACACAGGGGGTCAGGTAGAGAGGTGGATGTCCCATGGGCCTGAGGCAGGGGAGTCACAGGAAATCAGAGCAGGGAGGGACAGGCAGCCTATGAATGGTGTGCCCACTTCTTACCAAGCACATTCTTCAGCACGAACTGCCCAAGGGGCCATGTCAGAGGAGAAGACACCCCCTAAAGAATCCCAAGAGACAGGTCAAGGTGCCCGGTTACATCCTCAATGCATTAAGGCTTGACTGTTGCGCATCCTTCCATCACAGCCACCCTCCTCCAAAACAGTCATCAGGGACCACCTGCTGGGGGTCTGCAGGGAGGAAGGAGCCAAGGGGAAGTCCCAACACCACCAGAAGCCCACAGACCAAGACTCTGTGAATTTTCCACAGAGGAAATCCAAATCCTATGTTGGAACAGTACCAAACAGCAGCCCCAGAACCCTCTAAGCGCCCAGTCCCTCAACAGTCCCCCGGTGTGTGGTATACCCCATGGCCCGCCCAGCACTACCCCTGCCTTGATTCTAGTGTTCAAGGGAAACAAGGGATGTTGCAGACACGTCTAACGCAGATTTATTAACATGCAGCCGCAAAAGAATTAGCAAGTTTCGTTACAATATAAGCATCGAGTAGCCAAGCTGATGACTGTGTTTAATGACAGGATCTGAAAGAGGCCATACCAAAATGCACCCTAATTCTAGAGACAGAAACGTTTCATTTGCAAATGTTGGTAAGGGACTTGGAAGTCAAATGGAATAAACTGTGTTACACTATAGAAGAGACCACAGGATAAACCGTGAATTACTAATTGCTGCCTCTTTCCCCATCAGGGTAGCTTCGCTCTTTCTGGGAAAAAAATGTGTTTGTGAGCACATATCTGTGTAAATACAGTTGGTTTTTTCTAAGTGAGGGTAGGGGATAAATACAGGGTAAGCAGGGGAATTCCATGATTTGAGTTTTGGAAACTCCCGGGGGGGGGGGGAAATGTTTTCTTTTTGTTTGTTTTGCTTCGGATTAATCAGCAAGAGAATTATAAACATGGACTTACCTCGGCATGAGATACCTTGACCGTCGATAATTTGTTTGCAGACTCCACAGACTTTGGATTTTTTAAAGGCCTTGTTCTTAAAACTGTGCAGATTCGAAGTTAATTCTTCTGGCTGAAAAAAGTGAAGGAAGAAATTGTCAGTGCTTCAATTCACAGCTTGTTTCTTTTTCATTTTCCCTTTTGGGAGACAAAAAAAAATCTATTGGGGTTTGTAAAAACTAAAACAGGAACTGGACCACGGAAACAGAGAACAAGAATCTATCCTCGTGATGCTGAAATTCCCAGGGCAAGCACGAGGGCCCTATCAGCATTCTCAACAAATCCACCAAAGTCCTTGATGGGTGTTCGCTCTTCCCCAACTTGTCAACCCGGCCATGGAGTGCCTCAGGAGCACACCTATCAACACTGCTAGGTGACAATGCTCTCCCTTGCAGACTTGAAGCATACAACCACTTGCTTCCATACAGTAGGACAAACTACTGCACATACACTTCCAGAGTCTTGATCCTTTTTCGCCTAGAAGAAATGATTGGCAAAAGAGCGCCATTATGTTCAGAGAAAGTTGACTGGCTTTACTGGTTCAAAGGTGTCCCAGAATTTAGTTCCTGAGCCTCTCTGAGCAATCCTCCAGAGAGACAGTCAGTACTGTCCAGCCTATGATCCACATGTAGTTCCTCCTTAAACAAGTTATGAGCATTGGTACTAGGAAGAAATTAACCACTCATCTACCACATTCAAGTTTGTAGAGTCAAGCTTACAGCTATAGCTGATAACCCTATAAGAATTCAATTTGCTTTTAGAAATCAAATACCAGGCCGGCTTCAATGGCTCAGCCTGTAATCCCAGCACTTTGGGAGGCCGAGGTGAGTGGATTGCCTGAGCCCACGGGTTCAAGACCAGCCTGAGCAACTTGGCGAAACTTCGTCTCTGCAATAAATAAAAAATTATCCAGGTGTGGTAGCACGCGCCTGTAGTTTCAGCTACTTGGAAGGTTGAGGCGAAGGACCCACCAGAACCCAGCGGGTCGATGCTGTGGTGGTCATGAGCGTGCCATTGCACTCCAGCCTGGGCGACAGAATGAGACTCCGACTAAAAGAAAACCCCAAAAAACAAAAAAGATATCAAATACCAATCATGACAGCTATTTTCTGATATATGACCGTGTATTCCATCAGTACCTAATATCTATATGCATGTACTGAGGTCATGACCCACCAGAATAATTAAAATTTACCAAGAAGATGACATGGTATTGAGAGTGTAGGCCAAATGGTACAACTCTTTTGGACGCCTTTTGACAATTTCTTTGTAAACTCAAACATATGCCTATCTTTTGACACAGCAATTCCACTCCCACGTACACTCAAAAGAAACAAATATCCACATCCATAAAAGACTGGTGCAACAATGGTCACAGCAGCCTTATTTAACATTCCCAAAAGAAATAACCCAAATGTCCATCATGAGGAGAATGAACAAAAATAAGTATAGTATCTTCTTACAATGAAATTCTGTTCAGGAACACATGAGCAAAGACTACTAACACACACAGCCACACAGATGGCCACTAAAAGCATCACACTGATGGAAGGAAGTCAGACACAGGAGCATGCGATGAGAGATTCTACTTACAGAATATTCACGAACAGCCAAACTAGGCTATGTTAATATTGATAGAAGTAATAATGGTTATCTCTGGGGCACATGCAGTGATTGCAAAGGGTATGGGGAACCGTTCTGGACAAAGCAAGTGTTTGACTTCACACTCTGCGTTGTGGTTACACAGGACTACATATATTTAAAGTCATTAAGTTGTACACTTAAGATTTTTACATTTTACTATCTAAAGACCTATAGGAAAAATAAAAACATTTTTTTTTTTGAGTTGGAGTCTCACTCTGTCGCCCAGACTGGAGTGCAGTGGCTGCTCCCAGCCACCGCAGCCTCAACGTGCTGGGCTCCGGCGATCCTTCTGCCTCAGCCTTCCAAGTAGCTGGAACTACAGGCGCACGCTACCATGCCCGGCTAATTTTTTGATTTTTATTGTAGAGATGAGGTCTCGCCAAGCTGCCCAGGCGGTCTCGAACCCGCGAGCTCAGGCAATCCACTCACCTCAGCTTCCCAAAGCACGGGATTACTGGCTGAGCCACCGAGCCCAGCTAACATATTTTTTTAATTAAAGAGACAACCCTGGCAAGATGCTGGGAACAGAGTTTTAAAGACATGGTAAAACAAATATAATGAGATAGCATGGTTGTTTCTTAAAAAAAAAAATCAACTTCCACTTCTGATTCAGAGCAGTACCAAGGACTGGATTTATCCTCGCATCTGAAATAACCCAAAAAAATGTACATATGTGAAAACAACAGCTTTCAAGACACATCAGGACACGAAGAATAGTGATACTTAGAGACAAGAAAAAAAAAGAGGTGAACTAATAGAGATTGCCCCCAGGTTATTATACTGAGTGAGTTTCCAGGTTATAGAGAAGGAAGAGAGAACCCTGGCTGAGCCCAGTGTACTGCCTGTGTTAAGAGGAAGGAGTTAAGTCCAGGAAGAGGCCGGGCTCGGTGGCTCAGCCTGTAATCCAAGCACTTTGGAAGGCAGAGACAAGGGGACTGCCTGAGCCCACAGGTTCAAGACCAGCCTGAGCAACTTGATGAGACCTCATTTCTACAGTAAATCAAAAACTAGCTGGGCGTGGTAGCGCGCGCCTGTAGTTCTGGCTACTTGGAAGACTGAGGCAGAAGGATCGCCGGAGCCCAGCAGGTAGAGGCTGCGGTGGCCAGGAGCATGCCACTGCACTCCAGGAATAAAACTCCAACTCAAAAAAAAAAAAAGAATCCAGAAAGAAGAAGGCAGCAAGGGTTTTCCAGACAGTACCACAGAGCGGAGAACTGTATGGAATGGTTAAGATCTGCTTGTAGGCTGCGTGCGTTGGCTCACGCCTGTACACCCAGCACTCTGAGAAGCCAGGGTGGATGGAAGGATCATTTGAGGTCAGGAGTTTGAGACTAACCTAGGTAACACAGTAAAACCCCATCTCTACAAAAAATCAAAAAATTAGCCAGGTGTAGTGATGTACACCTGTAGTCCTAACTACTCTGGAGGCTGAGGCAGGAGGATCACTTAAGCCCAGGAGTTCAGGGCTGCAGTGAGCCATGATCACACCACTATACTCCAGCCTAAGCAACAGAGCAAGACTCTGTCTCTTGAAAACAATGATAATAAAAATAAAGCTCTGCCTGCAGAAGGTCTCTCTCAAGCTGTGTACCGATGAGCGTAAGCATGTGTGTGTGCTTGCCATGTATGTGTATAAAGGCTAGAAAAAGGGCACCAAGACAGGATTAGAGAAACAGTGCCCAACTTCACACAGAGCTGGAAATAGTGCTTGTTCTCATAGCCAAACCAAGAAACCTCAAAATCAGAGTATTTCATAGAAAGCACAGAAGGGTCTTACCTTACTGGGGGGAAGGATTTAGCTTTAGACTGAACACTGTTCCTGTCCTATTCACTCAATCTGAAAATCACTATCACAAAAGAATCAAACTGTTATCAAGTAACTTAACTGTGTCCTAGAACAAAACTCAAGATTACCTGTGGGAATATAAAAATAACCAGCATCCACCAAGGTAAAATTCTCAATAACTAAAAATTATCAGGCACTCAAAGAGACAAGAAAACAAAACCTCTAATGAGAAAACACAATCAACTGAAACTGACCCAGGACTAACAGAGATTTTAGAATTAGCGGACAAAGATATTATGAGGATTATTATAACTACTCCATATTTTGAAAAGTAGAGACCTGGAAGCTAAAAAGAGACCCAAATCAAACAGACGAAGAAGAAAATGTAAAAATACGCAGCAAAAAAATACGCTGGAGAGATGACTAGCAGATTAGACACTGCAGAAGAAGAGATGAATGAACTTGAAGATAACACAATACAAACATCCGAGAATAAAGCAGAGAGAAGAGAAAACCTAAATAAATAAACAGCATCAGTAAGAGGCAGGAGAACTCTAAACAAGGTGACACACACATAATGGAGAAGCGGAAGGAGAGGAAAAGCAAGGAAAGACGGAGACTTTAAGAAATAATTGCTAAAACTTTTTCAGAATAACAGGAAAACTGGAAACCCACATATCCAGGAAACTCAATGAATCTCTGGCACAAGAAATATGACAGAAACCACACCAAATCTCACTCTACTCAAATTGCTTAAAGCCAGTAAAAAAGAGAAAAATCTTAAAAACAGCCAGGGGAAAAAAAAGACACATTACAGGCAGAAGACTCATCATTAGGGTTAACAGCAGACTTCTCACTTTTTAAAAAATAATGCAAGTAAAAACAGTGGCCCAATATAAAAGAATTGTCACATGACATGTTTTTAATAAAGGGCAAAGGCTAGAAACACTAAACTATGCTGGCATTAATCAAAGAAAAGTTAGAGTATCTATATCAGACAGTTTAGGCTTCAGATCAAAGAACACTGCTGAGTCTATAGATAGTCTCATTTTTAGTGATAAAAAGACTGATCAATTAAGAAGTGATAACAATCTTAAACATATAAGCACCTAATAACAAGACTGATAGAACTGCAAAGAGAAACAGACTAATGCATAAACATAGTAAGAAATTTCATTACTCTTTTTTTTTTTTTTACTGTTAACTTTATTCTTTTCCTCTTCTTCTTTTTTTTTAAATTAATCAATATTTTTTATTATGGTTTTGTGGGGTACAGTTAAGGGTTAGGTGTACAGTTACGTTTCATTCATTCATTCATATTATCAGGCACCCTGTTGATAAGAAGTGTTTTCCAATCCCCAGACAGATTTGCTACTGTTAATCCCATCCCCCCCCATAGTTTCCCAGTACCGTCATTGGATGTTCAAGGTCCATTATATGAGTGAGAACATGTGATACTCGGATCTTTGTTTCTGTGAGAGGTCACTCAGTATTATAGACTCTAGTTCCATCCAGGTTGCTGTGAAATTCATGATTTTGTTTTGTTTTTTTTTTATGGCTGCGTAGTATTCCATCGTGTATATGTACCACATTTTTTAATCCAGTCCTCTTTTGATGGGCAGCATGGTTGTTTCCAGGTT